GGCCTACAATGTAAAAGCAATGAAAAAACGATGCACAATCATTGAAGGTTGACTTGCGGAATAAAAATTTATTAAAATATAACGTGAGAAAACTTGGGAGATCTTACACGTAGAATAAGAAATGGTATTAACCAATCAGAACCAAGTTTAATATACAATCAGTTGAATCAGTGGATCACAAAATAAAAGTTCGGTGACAAGTTAATGAGTGGATTAATTACAAGTAAACGATGATAAGATGTCGTGCGACCGAAATATTATTGTGAATCAAGTGTTCAGTTAAACATCAACTGTGGTACCTGAGTATATAGGCATACATACATACATGTATACATTTAGAAGAGGGCGTATAATATTGATCTCCGTTATTTGCCATGTATCAAGGACAAGTGCTGCCTAACTACGCATGTGCATGAGTGTGCAGAATTAGATGCTTTATCGGATTTGAACTCCCAACAAAACCTCAATGGCCTGGTTGGTTAAGGCGTCTGCATAGACAACAGACAATATATGTATAATATACACGGTAGTAGTAGTCATTTTACTACTACCACCACCGTTCTGTAGATAAAATTGTCAGACGATAGAACAAATGAAGGATGAATGAGACTTTGATTAAGCGAGCTGTGTGATGTACAATCTACTTTGTTTCATATTAACCGACTTTATTCAGGGTCGTTTTGCTTTTTATCCGTAGGCAATCTGAGTGCTTTAAAAAAAACGTCTGGAATTCTGCGGTAGCAGTAGTAATCTGGACTACTGCAACTACGGTAATCATTTATTAACATTGGAAACATATAGGAATCATGAATTCCATTATGAAACTGAGTTTTAGTCTATTCTCAGACTGTGAATAATTAAAGCACAGACTAGGCTACTTTGCATAAAATAGTGATAGTCACCAAGCAATAAAGCAATATGAAATTGAGAGACATATTTATATACTAGTATTCACTCATATTAACATATATATATTAAAACGCTATAATATGGAGGTCGCTCATAAAATACTTAAATGGTACATTATGGTTTAACATAGCAATGGCAACTCGCGGCGGAATTGTGTTTGTTTATATTATGTAGGCCTAAGTAGCCATCCATCGGGTTATGAGAAGCAGGTAGATAATTATTATGTAACTCATAGAGAAATGTTTGATAAACTTTTCGCGTGATTAACTTAATTATTGTCACTTTAGAAATTTCCATGAAAGAATGCAACCTACCCGAATGTGGTATTCCCGTATATGAATGGAACAGCATAAGTAATTATCCATAGACCACTAACGGAGCAATCCAAATAGGGTTCCGCCGACCATTTGCCGTCACTTTTCACAACGTGTGGATAAGATGTCGTTCGGTTAATGGGCTCAATAATGCTTCCATTACTATCAAATTCGTTGTGTTTCGTTACATATTTTTCTCCTAGTTCTTCATAATACCATGAAAAATTATCGCTCTCTGGATGGTGAAATGAAGCGTTCGAAACATATGCACAGACTGTATCAGATTTAGTAACAATACAAAATTGCAATATATTTTTTTTATTATTATTATTAGCAATATTATTATTATTATTATCATTATCCTTTTTATGATTAAATCTGTCGATATTTTCGACAGTGTTACCTAATACTACCTCATAGAATTTTGGCCATTCTGTTTGGCCTCCGTTCTTATGCATTGAGTTTATCAGATTTGCCGTTTCTATAGCAGCATCAACCGCTGTTTGGAAAAGATCTACAGCGATAATTTCTAGTTCGGAAGTTTTCAATCGTATATCAGATTTAAATGATTTTCCCCCGGAATTTCCACATTCAAACGATAGTATGTTCTTAACGGTTTCAATCGATGTATTCACTGATCTCACCATGCGACTAGCATGGTTTCCAGAAATAGACTGGCGTGCATTTAAACTTAAAAACTCCAGCGATATATCCCATACATTCCTTCCACTGTAAAAAGAATCATGTAATTCCCGAACGTTTGCATCTTCCTCTTTAGCGTTTTCTAAAGTACCAAGGGCGGACGATGACTGATACAACAAAATATGAACAAGTAATATTTCCAGGTATAAACAAATCTGGGCTAAAATCAGTGTCATGTTGAAATCCGTATTTGGGGTAAAAAATCGATGCGCTCATTCGAACTATTCCGCGAATCCGTGAAACTATGAAATACCGCAGCGAGAAGCAAGCATGGGGAGACGAGGCGAGTTACTCCGCAGCAATCCGACACACACACTCGCGGCTACTACGGATAATGATATGTAGCTTATAATACAGCTACGTTCTCGTGAGGTCAAAGTTGCCAAAGCAATATCTCATAATGCGATTGGTAGGGTTCAGAATTCAGTGTCATCCTCAATCGAGGGACGAGAAATTCCCACGGGGGTATTCACAGGCTCACCACTTCCATTTTTATCCGCACCATACGTCAAAAGATGGTTTGTATCAATATTGATATTGACGGTAACTGATGTATCAATTACTAAAATATAGTCCAAGAAATTTTAATATTTAGTTTACATAATTATGCCCTATTTATTCATTAATATGCTGGCTGTATGCTTAATGATTGTCGGTTGGAGAAAAAAACAAAAATTAAAATTAGGTCGTAGTAGGTTAATGCAAAATCATATTTTATGATAATGTGAGTGATCATAATTAAAGGTAACGGTTATGAAAACAAACAATGGCGTTTTTACGAGTACTGACAATGGATAATGGATCAATACTTTGACAATATAGTAGGCCTATGATCATGCATTGATGATTGTAAGGTGGATTGGAACATTATAGTAACAGGAGTGCTTATCAAAGTACGATCTCGTCGGAGGGAGCTGCCCCCGTCCCCCCGTCGGGAAGAAAAAGCATAATTCGTCGGGGATATAAAAAATTATATGTATTTTCTACATATAAGTAGACTTTAAAATCGATTTAAATATGCCTTTGAAACTCCCCTCCTGGTTTGGAACCCCCCCCCCCCCCCCCCCCCGGCCACTTTCGAAACCTTTTAATCGAAGCTCGACCACGCCCACTTTGCTTTTGTCTGGGATATCTGATCCCTTGTCGGGGGAATTTCCCCCTGCCCGTACCCACAAACACATTGAAATAGCCTTACATCACTTACAACCGTATGGCCTATGCCACGTGGTATCGGTGGTTGTAATTAATTCCATCAAGGGCCGTCAGTCAAATAGGACCATCATATTTATATAAATGCTAATATGGAGTAATTATGAAACCACATCATCTGCTCTCACGCCTTTGTCATTCAGATTCGAAATACGGTAATTATACACAGTTAGGCCTTCTTGTACTAAAAATTAAATAAAACAATTGTTTAATTTAAAACAAACAGATGGGAATATCACGTGAGTTGAGGATTCACAGAACAGAATTAGAGAATCACTTGGGTTTGTGTAAGGGGGTGGGGTTGAATATGATTAAATAAAGTGATGCTGTCGAGTGTTATTGACTTTTGTCTCCTTCACATGCCACTTTTAATCAAATTACACTCCCAAGCAATCAGTGTTGATTGACTAGTAATATACACATTTGAATTTCTAATTAAGGAATAATGCTATTTATTTTATAATTAAATCGATCGATTTTCAACATTGTCATCATTATTATACTGTTACTGTCATAAATTCATTAATAATAAAAATAATATAATAATAGTAATACAAATTATATAATACCAATAATCATCACCATCATCATTATTACTATTATTGCTGTAAATATTGTTAATATATTATTAGTGTTATTGATATTATTGTTAGTATTAGCCCTATTAATATTACTAAGAACAATACTATCATACAGTATTATTAATTGCCTATTATTAATTTGATTATTAGCGTTATTATTAATATATCATTATTAGTGTTATTGATACTGTACTATTGTTAGTATTACGGTATCGTCATTATTAGGCCTATTAACATTATTAAAAAGAGTATTTTTATTACAGTTAAAATAAGGAGTTTCAAAGGCTTTTTAAATAAATTTTAATGTTTGTTTTTTACCTGTTATTTCACATTCACTTTTACATACTTTTAAGGTTTAATGGGTTTTATTTCTTATATTAGTTTTACTTTTATTAAAATTTTAAAGGTTGTTATAAATTTTCAATGTTTGTTTTAGTTTTAATCAACTTTTATGTATTTGTTTTCATTTAAGGGACCCCAACGGAAATAAACCGATTCGGTTTTTTTGGGTTATCCTGAGCTGTAAATGTTTTACTAAATTATCTTTTTGTTGTTCATTGTTTTGTTATTTGTAATGTGTTGAATTATGCTCAAATAAATTTGAATTGAATTGTATATTATTCAGTAATACCATTATCGTTATTGATAGAAAAAAAGCTACCAATAAGATAATAATAATTAAGATAATATACCGATTAACGGTATATTATCTTAATCGGTATATTATCGAATAATGTAAATATTATGTAAAATACTCGTACAACTGTAAATTAAACATCGCACACTTAAGTACGGTATCATACTAAGCATCACACACTTTTAGCTTGTAAGACTAATAGTAATACTATTTATTTGGTCCAAAATACTGATAATTACCAAAAAGTAAACTAATCAACAAAATGGTAAACTAACACACGGATTAAACAGCATTCACAAAACATGGAGCAATAATAAACAATCGTACAGTATAATATCCATGCAAAAGGTATTAAACATATAAAAATTACTTACAAAGATTAAAATTTACAATAATCACAAAAAAAGACAATTAGTACAGTAATAACAAATTATCCTAGTTAAATTATTAAAATTAAAAATGATAAATATAAAATATAATTAAAATCACCCATACAATTTAAATTTACAACATTGAGATAATATTTAATTAATACAAAATATTAAGACAATAGGTAATTATTTTAATATGTACAAGTACAAAGAATACAACACTAATAATAGATATGTTAGGGCTATATTATTATTGTTTTAGAAACATATTGTTAAAATCAGTATTGAGACACAATTAACCATCCGATCCCACTACCATATTTCAGTGGCTGATTCAATTTTTATTGCCGGGGTGGCGCGAGTGGCAATCGACGACCTTCGAAGGGAACTGAATCTGGCCAAGAGGTTGTGGGTGTTCCCTTTATTGAAGGATTCCAAGGGCTGAGCCCCTGGAAGCTTCGGAGATTATCCATTTTGAAGTCTAGTAGAATAGGGTGCGGGGTTATCGGGGTGAGCACCCATTTTGCACCCCTGGATCCGCCCACTGCATTGAGATGTTCTCTTGAATTTTCCCAGGATACGTTATTCTGTAAGCATTTTGTAACAATACGCAATAGAACAAGTAAATCAAATATGATGTTAAATGAAAAATTCAGTATTGAACAGAATGGAATTGTCGCCACTTATGCATGCAACAATGTCTTTACCCACATATTCCAATCAATCGGACCCACGCATAAAACTTTCTTGTTATTTCTAAATGATATACTTATTAAAATAAATTGTTTTGATAATAATGATTTTGAAGTCTCAACAATTAGTCGGGAATTGGTAGCCATGGTGTCGGGCTTCGGCTGATGTGTGTAGGCCTAGTAATGATCCTGTCACGTTCTTGGACAATTGGCTTACACTATTACTCGTATCTATCTTGGGGAAATTGTAAAAGAAAATGATTTTACCAAGATTAATAAACATGATCAACCACAGAGCTTTAAAATCTTGAATATCTTGAAAAACACAGGTTTACGACGTAAAAAAGTCGAAATAATCTGTCTCTTATACACATCTAGATGTGTATAAGAGACAGGCACTAACAAGCTTCTGATGATTTTTCGGGTTTTTTAAATAACCACAACCTTCTTTTCCTAACCGATTTCTCCTTTCAATGAGTTCTAATTGGATATATTCTAATATATTTAAATCCACCAATGTTTTAATTAGCCTACATATAAAAAATAAATGGGGGTTTCTTTTTTTTTTTTTTTTTTTATTTATT